ATGTGTCTCTCTCTGTCAAATAAATAAATAAATAAATCTTTAAAAAAAAAAAAAAAAGTTGGGGCGCCTGGGTGGCTCAGTTGTTAAGCGTCTGTCTTCGGCTCAGGTCATGATCCCAGGGTCCTGGGATCGAGCCCCACATCAGGCTCCCTGCTCAGCGGGAAGCTTGTTTCTCCCTCTTCCACTCCCCCTGCTTGTGCTCCTCTCTTGCGGCCTCTCTCTCTGTCAAATAAAAATCTTAAAAAAAAAAAGTTGACAGGAAAAACCAGAAAACTTCCCTCAGAGAAGAAAACACCAGGTGATTTTACATGCATGTTACAGGAAGCAAGGCACAATAATTTAAACCTCATATAAACTATTCCAGAGTATAGAAAAAAAGGAAACACTCTTCCCAACTCTGGATTCTTTTATGAAGCCAACATACCCTTAAAAGTGAAACCAAACAAGAAAAATTACAGTCCAACCTCACTCATTGAGATTGACAGAACTAAATGGTGAAATAATTAAAAGCACTCATTTTAACATCAGGAAAAAGACAAGGATGTCTTCTAACACCAATTCCATTAATAGTGTACTGAAATATCCTGATTGGTGAATAAATGTGTTAAAAAGATAGATTTAGGGCGCCTGGGTGGCTCAGTTGGTTAAGCGACTGCCTTCGGCTCAGGTCATGATCCTGGAGTTCCAGGATCGAGTCCCGCATCGGGCTTCCTGCTCGGCGGGGAGTCTGCTTCTCCCTCTGACCCTCTTCCCTCTCGTGCTTTCTATCTCTCATTCTCTCTCTCTCTCAAATAAATAAATAAATAAATAAAAATCTTTAAAAAAGATAGATTTATTAAGGAACAATTTCATCATTATTCACAGACCGTATAATTTTCTACGTAGAAAACCCAAAGGCGGGCGCCTGAATGGCTCACTCGGTTGAGCAACCAACTCTTGGTTTCGTCTCAGGTCATGGTCTCATGGGTCGTGAAATCGAGCCCCGTGTCAGGCTCAGCACTCAGCGGGGAGTCTCCTGGAAGATTCTCTCCCTCTGCCCCGCCCCCCACTCACATGCTCAAATAAATAAAAATAATTTTAAAAACCTTCAAAAAGGTTTTTAAGGTAGGGGGGACACCTGGGTGGCTCAGTCGGTTAAGCGTCCAACTCTTGGTTTTGGCTTACGTCATGATCTCATGGGTTGTGAGATTAAGCCACGAGTAGGGCCCACAGTTGGTGCGGGGTCTGCTTGAGATTCTGTCTCTGTGACCCACCCTCCCCCGGGGTCACGCACCCTCTCTCTCTCGCAAATAAATAAGTGAATAAAATCTTTAAAAAATAATAATTAAAAAAAAAAGAAAAAAAACAAGAAATCCAGAGATAAATAATCAGGATAATAAGAGAGTTTAACAAATTTGCTGGATATGAAATCAATACAGAAAAGTCAATTTGATAAGAGTAGCATAGTTGTGTAAGACGTTAACACTAGGGAAAACTGGGTGAACAGTATGCAGGAACACTTTATAACATTTTTGCAAATTTAAACTTATAAAATAATCTTATTTTAATAAATGATTTAAAAAATTACGAAGTCTGACAATATTAAGTACTGGGGAAGATGAAGAGCAACAAAAATTTTTATATATTGCTGACAGAATATAAGTTGGAAAACCACTTTGGAAAACACTTTGGTATTATCTTGTAAATTGAAAATGTCTATACCCTTGGACCCAGAAATTCTACTCCCAAGTATATAACCAGAGAAACTTACACACATATGTATAAAACTGTTCATAACAGCAATGTTTGTAATAGCAAAAAGATGAAAATGTCTACTGATAAGATTATAGAGAAATAGATTGTTATATATCTATACAACGGAATACCAAACACCAACCAAAACATCAACCCAGATCATTGGATGATTTAGAGGGTGAAAATAGGTTTGGCAAGATGGGGGAAATCTTAGATATTACAATCACTTGTGGCCCTTCAAAGGGCAACAGTACATAAATAGACTTCTATCTGTAGTATTAAAATTTCATGGGGAAGGAAGGAGACGATTAGGATAAAATTGTCCAAAAAGATCCTAAAAAATTAATAAATAAAAAGGATCCTTGGAGTGATAATAAAAAAAAGAAAACTGAGAAACAATGACTGAAGAGAGTCTCAAGAATACAACATAGAGTAAAAAAAAAAAAAAAGCAAGTTTAGGGCGCCTGGGTGGCTCAGTTGGTTAAGCGACTGCCTTCGGCTCAGGTCATGATCCTGGAGTCCTGGGATCGAGTCCCACATCAAGCTCCCGGCTCAGCGGGGACCCTGCTTCTCCCTCTGACTTTCTCCCCTCTCATACTGTTTCTCTCTCTCTCTCAAATAAATAAATAAAATCTTTAAAAAAATAAAAATAAAAATAAAAAAAAATAAAAAAAAAGCAAGTTTAGAAGAATACATATAGTATATTATTCACATAAAGTTCAAAACATACAAAATAATGTAATTGTTTAGAGATACATATATATATATATGATTAAACTATAATAAAAAAACAAAATTCAGAATAGGAGTTATCCTTGTGAAGTAGTTAAGAGCATGCTGAAATCCAGGAGGGGCATATAAAAAAATTCAAAAGTATCATCTGTTCTTTTCTTCAACTGCGATGGCAAATACATAGGCATTCATTTTATTATTCCTCATCCCTTAATTATTTAAGTATTTTTTGTTAGTATAAAATGTTTCATAATTAGAACCACTTAAAAGAATGATTTAAAAATACCACCTATCAATTTACTGAAAGTAAAATCTTAATAGTGAAACCATATGAATAGTTTGCCACTGATCATGCAATTAATGTTAAATAATATTAAATGATAATATTCATATTAAACCTATGTTGCTAAAAACAACCACAATGAGAAGCTTAACCTTTTTTTTAAAGATTAAAAAAAAAATACTTAACAGCTCATACCCAGCCACCTTGTTGAGTGATGTACTCTGCTGCATAGTCCTCCAGATATGTCACACCAAACTGTAGCAATGCACTCAGAGGCTCTTGACCACGTCTTGTCAACTCCAAAAGCATTTGTTGTAGCAAAATCAGAGGCACCAAAATCTTTAAGGCAAAGATGAGAGAGTAAAAAACAAACTGAAATTCTTATAATTCATTTTATATGTTCAACTACTAGAAAATTACAACTTGGATGCATCATTATGGAATCTCATTTTTTTTTTTTAAAGATTTTATTTATTTATTTGAGAGAGAGAATGAGAGAGAGCACGAGAGGGAAGAGGGTCAGAGGGAGAAGCAGACTCCCCGCTGCGCAGGGAGCCCGATGTGGGACTCGATCCCGGGACTCCAGGATCATGACCTGAGCCGAAGGCAGTCGCTTAACCAACTGAGCCACCCAGGCACCCTGGAATCTCATTTTTATTATAATAAAGGAATAAAACACTGACCCCTTACTAGAATGTCTGTGAATAATGCATGTAGATTTTATACCATAGGGTGGTAGAAATAATTATTTTATGAAAACAATTGGGCTTGTGTGTATGTGTGTATATGAAACATGTACAAATAATTCACTGAAATATTATTTATAATAGCAAAAGACTAGAAACAACCCACCAGCAACTGGTTAAATCAATTTTGGCAAAATATCATGTAGTTGTTAAAAAGAATTAGATTGTTCGCTGCCCAATCACCAGGACTTATTTTCAGTGAGAAAAGTGACAGGACAGTGTATATAATTACAGTACCATTTGTGTTTAAAATATACATACATATACACACACACATATATATATACATGTGTGTATAATCCTATAGTATCTCTGGAAAAATATACAAAAACCGGTAATAGTGGTAGCCTAAGAAGAGGATGAAGTAATGGCAACAGGGTGGGTAAATAGTTTTCAATGTATACATTTCTGTACTTACTGCATTTTGTACCATGTGCTTTTTGTATCTATTTGAAAATGAGAATTTTCAAAATTATCAGCTATCTTATAAAAGTCATCAAAAACCTAAATAGGGGGGACCTAGCTGGCTCAATTGGTTAAGTGTCTGACTTCCGCTCAGGTCATGATCTCAGGGTCCTGGGATGGAGCCCCATGTCAGCTTCCATGCTCAGCAAGAAGTCTGCTTGTCCCTCTCCCTCTCCCTCTGTTCCTCCCCCTGCTTGTGCTCTCTCTGTCTTTCTCTCAAATAAATAAATAAAATTTAAAAACAAAACAAAACAAAAAAACCCTAGGGAGGTATTATTATCATTCCTAATAACCTTGTGGCTCAATATTTAAAAACCGTCAAAATTTATGACAGAGGCATACGAGAGTCCCTTGCCTTCCAAAAACAACGAACTGCACATTGAAAAGAATTAAAAGCATTTTCAATTAACCATCTGCATGCAATCTCTTTAGTCTAAACCATCAAGAGGGCTCCACATGCCTGGAAAAGGAATGCAAAAGGAAATGAAACCAATTCCAGTCCCTTGCTACTGAAATGCCAAGGTAATAACTGAGGGATTACAAAATATTTCTGCAGAAAAGGACAAACAGAAAAGACAATGAGTTTATAGTTTTACTAATACTCTTTGGCTTTTAAGTAAAAGCAGTCCTGAGGGAATCTTATCAAAGTCTGAAAGAAAGAATGCAACAAACACCATGTCTTCCCTTTTTGATACTGTAAAAGAACTCCAGCCCAAAATTTATTTAAAAACCCCTTCCTAACACTAATGGAGGGGTCTAGGGCTATAAAGAATATACTGTTTTCCTCACAATTAGAAAACTTGTCATTCTATTAAAAACAAAAACAAACAAAAAAACCCACCCCAAAACCTATTGTTCATCTAGCTCCAGTACTGCGTCTTAGTAGGAGCAGGGATAGCTTGTTGATCAGTCCTACTGACTCAGATCACCGTAACTTCAAAGGCCTGAGATGTTCTATACCTCAAAACATTCTAATTTCCCATAATAATCTAATAATATGCAATATTTTAAAGTTATTCATGTTTAAGCTCTATTACCTCTTAGGGAAATGAGTTGCAAACACTTTATATTTGCTATACAAAATAATACTTATTTTTATTTGTTCCAAATTTATCTCTTTCATGTATCAAAAAGTAGATGCCCTAGTTTTACTATATAATTATCTAGAGATAAATCTGTTATCCCCTTTCACTACTGTCTTGAGTCCTTAATCATATTCCCTCTCATTCACTATACTTTTTAGGCTGAAATTTACTAATCTTTTAGACTGTTCTTCATCTGGCAATTCCTTCACTGCTTTGATCATTTAGATTACCCCTTCCCAGTTCTTCTCCATCCCAATTATATCTTTCTTGAAATGCAGTGTCCAGAGTACAGAAACTTCACTTTATAGGACTAACAAATTCTAACTGTAATATTCTTGATGATACATGCTCTGTCTTTTTACCTATTTGACATCCTGTCTTCAGAGACCTATATGATGACTTCCAGGCCCACTACCTTTTAATTTAGACTGTCTTTATATAGTTAAACCCACTTACCCTCTAATTTTTGTGATCACACACAAAACCTCTTATTTCTACGACCAATTCCAACAACTTGGCAGTGTACTACCCACAAGAAATTATCACCTTATACCTGATATTTTTTTGCATTCCCTCTCCCACAGTCCTAAAAAAAAAAAAAGCTTAAAAAAAAACAACACCTGGACCCCCAAGCATCCATTCCTAGAAGGTCCCCACTATTCATATCTCTAAGACTAAAAAGGAACCAAATAGTCTTACTCTTTGAATTCCTCTAAGTCATTTCCTTACTGGATAATAGTAATCCCCACAACACATATAAATTATTTTCTCTCCAATAACTTTCGTAAAGGAATGCTAAGGTAATTTTGACCATCAAAAAGCAATACCTCCATTCACTGTCTCCCCATAGGTACCATGCTAACAATATTCTCTTATTATTAAAGAATGTACAGCTTGCTGGTTACAGAAATGAAGTATATTAATTTATAGCTCCAAGGATCTCTTCCAGTAGAATATTTATAATGATAAAATACATATTTTGATCCATCAATTTACTATTTAGTAACCAATTTATAACTTAACAATTCTAGTAAATGTCATATCCCACAAATTTTCTCTGTATTGATTAGGTTTGAATGTTTGACCTATGTGCTTCAAAATAAAATTTAAGTGACAACCAGGCATTATGTATCACCCAGTGTGATGCAACAGGAAATAAGGAACATTGCCAATGAAGTATTCTTGCCAAAAAGATTAAACCTAACTATGATTAGGCTTCTAGATCTACCTACCAATGGAAAGGAAATATAGATACAGAGGAGTATGTTAAGTGACATCTCAGTGATACAGTCAATAAAATCCAGAAAGTAGGAAATTTTACAAAAGAAATAACTTGTAAGCAAAGAAAAAATCAAGAGAGCGAGTAAACCTACATATTAAAAGAGACTTAAGACACATATTACATGATTGCATTTATATGAAATGTCCAGAATAGGCAAATTTAAAGAGACGGAGTAATGTTGTTAGGGGCTGGGAGGTACAGGAAATGGAGAGTGACTACTACAAGATGTGGGGTTTCTTTATGGGAAGATAAAAATGTTCTGGAATTAGACAATACAGATGGCTGCATAACTATGTGAATGTGAACCACTGAACTGTATGCTTTAGAAAGGTAAATATAAATTTTATGGTATGAATTATATTTCAATTTTTAAAAAAAAGTAAAGACAAGAGACTTATCAGCCAAATGCAATGCATAGACCTTGTTTGGATCACAATTCAAACAAATCATCTTAGAGAAATACCTTTGTGAGACAATTGGAAAAATCTGAATACTAAACAGATTATGTGATGACAGAATTACTGTTAATATTTTGAGGTATAAGTATAATAGTGGTATTATCAGTTGGTTAAAAAAAGAGATACATCCAAAAAAAAGGCGGCTACATCATCCTTGGAAATACATACAAATGTATTTATGAATCAAATGATGTCTAGAGCCTACTTCAAAATAATCTGGGGGAGAGTGGGAAATAGATGAAACAAGACCAGCCATATGTTGATAATTACTGAAGCTGAGTGACAAGATACATGGGATTTGCTATACTGTTCACTGTGCTTTTGTGTATGCTTCAAATTTTAATAAAGATTTAAAAATATTAGTGATTCGGGCACCTGGGTGCCTCAGTTGGTTAAGCGACTGCCTTCGGCTCAGGTCATGATCCTGGAGTCCTGGGATCGAGTCCCACATCGGGCTTCCTGCTTAGCAGGGAGTCTGCTTCTCCCTCTGACCCTCTTCCCTCTCGTGCTTTCTATCTCTCATTCTCTCTAATA